GACTTTCTCCCCGATGCCGTCTACGATGTCTTGGTCGTTAGATTTGTAAGCTTGAGTCAGGATAGAGGTTGCCGTGGTGACCCTAAATTGTTTCAGAATAAGGCTGAAATTATATTCGATGATAAGCATTGTGTGAGACTAGGTCGGATTTTCATTGACAACAAACAGTCTTTGAAAGTAAGTTTTTTTTGTTTTTTTTTAAATTTGTACTACTAGAAAAAAAAATGAAGATTTTAGTCCTGTTCAGCTTGGGCAACAAGAAATTTATATTTTGCCATAAAAAACATACCTTTTTTTTCAATATTTAGTGTTGTTAAACATGCCTACTATTAAATTGTATAGTTGTTAGGCCTTTTGCTGTTTTTGTTCATACCTTTACAATATAGAAATAAATTGAATTACAGTATATTTTGACCATTTTTAAACAAATATTTATATGAACTAAAATGAGCAAAAAAATAATTCCGCAGAAGATGGTGGACAAATGGACAACGAATCTCTTGTGAGTCCATCTAATACCCCTTTTACACTGCAAGAAAAATTTTGAACATAACCCAGGATTTTCCAATACCTGGGTTAAAATCTCTCAAGTTGTGGTTAGTGTAAACGTCAAAAAGTCCGACTCGGGTTGCTAAACATTCCAGGATGGACGTGCAGGACGCATTCAGCGTAGGATAACCCAGGTGCATTCTGAAGTCGCCAGTGTAAACAGCACCAAATTTGATTTTGGAATTAGGCCTTACCTTGGTGCCTACTGCAGCTATGGTCATGTAGGCCTAAACTTTGCTAACAACAGGCTAGGCCTAGACTCTTTTCAAATTAAACCCTCTACGCGCCAGTATAGACTTGATATCAAAACTGCTGATTTAATCGCATAATTAAAAAAAAATCTGCAGGTGCATTTCTTTAATATTTACAATAATTGTGGCTTCGTGACGACGAGGAACTCGAGCAAAGTGATGATCGCCATCGCAAGAAAAATTGAGGGAGGTATTTGAACCCGAGTTCGTTGCCGGTATAAAATGGGAGCAACTCGGGATCAACCCGGACTTTTTCGTTCTATAAATGGCAAATGCACCCGGGATCACCCAGGAGCGTAGTGTAAAAGGGGTATCAGTCACTCCAATTTATAGATATTACAAAATATTGTAAGTTAAGGTAAAAGAAAGTAAATAATTTCAATTAAGTTTTGCGAAATATATTACTTGTAATCTGCAGCTTGAAATATCACGGATGAAAGAGCGAGATGAACACTGTGTGGACAAGCCAACATGCAAGCCGCATCCCAACGTATGTACAGAGGTAATGACGTCATTAACTGTTTGGTCATGTTGATTATATTTTAGATTTAATACCAAATGTCCCCCGTCCCCCATCAATCGACGCCCATGGATTTAATACCAAATGGCTAACCATCATATTATAAAATATGAAATATTAAAATGTTATTCTATTTCTTTGTTACAGGTTTTGAACATGTTAAAGCAACATCTAGATGAGGTATATCCATCTAAGAAAGTTGTTGGCTATTCTCTGAACATACTTTGCTTTGTCTGCGTGAACCCAGAGACAGCACACTTTCAAGAACTTGAGTACTGCTTAAAGAACGAGTATATAAATTGTGATGAAACAGGAGAACTTATAGTAATGCCAACAGCTAAAGTACAGAATCTATTTGTGGCAGGTATGCGATTTGTTTTCATTTATTTTGAAATTATTAAAAACAAGTACTGTACAGAAACTAATAAGAATGAAAAACAACAAAATTTCAGGATAACATCTTAAACATTTTTGCTTGTTTCTGAGCAGATCTTGTTTATGGAGTTGATGTTATTGAAATAATAGTTTATAAAAATATTGTTTTAATGGTAGAAATCTGTATTCAGGTAGAGGAACAATAGTAAAATTTCCAAATTTATTTTCATTTTACAGATTTGCCTGTTGATAACAAAAGAAAAATATCGGACTCAGACCAACTTGTAGTGAAAAAGCTCAAGACCTGTGATACAACAGACGGAGAAAGAGGAAGTGCAGAAGGTATGCTAGTGTTTTAAAATGATTAATAAATTAGTATATTTGATTTAATTTATGTTTTAATTTAAATAGTAAATCAGAAACAATGTTCAATTTTTGTTCCAATATTTGTTGCCGGTACAAACTCTCATTGGAAATGAATTATCTACTCACTAAATTCAAGTCCGTCTTATTTTATTTAGTTTATGGATTTTTCTGTTGTTTTGCCCTCCACGGCTCTAACAACTGTATACC